GGGGGTATTGGACTCGGAACAATACTTGGATTTCAGCTTCACAACGAAGGATATCCAATTCTCAGACTCAACCTCGCGACGAGGGAGTCATTTCTCGATTTACAGTGACAAACCAGTTTCAATATCGGATTTCAACTCCCGAACTGATGGCATTCGATATGGACGAAATTTGTGTCTTTTAATCTTTGCTCTATTGTCGTTACATGATAATGAGCAAAGAGGGGCAACTGAAGACACTTAATTTCGACTATGAAAATTGAATTATAATATTACTATGTAATATTATAAATATAATACATATTTTGGTTCTTTTTTCTACAGGCCCAAATATTACAACTGGTCTAGCAGTGACCCAAAGCTCGCAACCCACCTGGAAACTAGGGTTTCCAGAACCCTAGTCCACGCGTTGCTTCCAACAGCGCCGCATGGCCGAGAGTCCCATGCCTCACGACTCTCCCTCCGAGTTTCACGGTGCACGTCTCTCACCTCCAACAGCCCCGAGGCGTCCGGCGAATGAAACCCATTCATCACCAACAAATACAAACAAATTGCATTAGTGTTTTATTCGGTTGTAAATACCTAAAAATATGATTTTTATTCCTATAAATATATGTAATCAGAACCCATTGAGGGGGGACGAAAAAACAAGAGAGATTTTTCACACGAAATAGATACAAAACCCTAGCAAAAATTCGCAGAAAATATTAGAGTGAAACAGAGGAATTCTCGCAAAGTTTTCGGAAGGAAAAGGTAAAAGTTTATACCTTTATCGCTTTAGATGCTTGCATGCATGGTCTCTTCGTCATTTTGGTTCGAATAGAACCCAAAAGAAGCGTTTTAGCCGATGAACAAGGGGCATTTTTAGGATCTTCTTTTGTAGATCTAGCCCCCGAGGCTCATCTTTTATAGAAAATATTTTGATTTTTGAAAACTAGATTTAAAAAGCTTTGAAAAACAAAGAAAAAAATCTGGTTTTACCGCCGATGAACGGCGGCTGTCGCCGTTCAACGGCGGCGGCGAGGCGATGCGGTGGCCGTATTCTGGGAACCACGGCCCTTGTTCTTCATACTGAAGAACAGTTGAGAGAAAAGAATAAAGGGGAGGGCGTTCTGTTTGGAGAGAAGGAAAGAAATAAAATTTTAAAACCAGATTTTGACACATATACACCCCGGAACCCGCATGTTTTTAAAGAAAATGGGGTAAACTACCCTTTTGGTCCCTCGCTACTTTTAAAGAATTATTTTAACCCCGAATTTGCTTTTGAATTGGTCTCTAATTCTGATTTTCTTTCAATTTAGCCACCCAACTTGTTTTTGATTCAATTTAATACTTATACTGACCCTTTTTATTTATTTCATATCATGTAATTATATATATATATATATATACGTATTTTCTATATATTTCATCTATATACTTAGTATTAATACATATATATTATTTTTAATTAACTTTTTGGTCATTTCTTTATCTAGCTACTACATCTTATAATTTTATATGTTATATATGTATTTTTTTTATTATTATTTACCAACCTTACTCATTTTATCTTATAATTATATTTCTATTAACATTTTATTTTTTGTATTTATGTATGTATATATATATATATTCATTTTACCTATTATTGATATTTTTCCTTTCTAATACTTTAATATATATATTTCTCGTTTCATTCATTAATTATTTATTCCATTTTTATTTTATTTATTTCCCCCTTTTACTTTTTTTTTTTTTTTCTTTCTTCCCCTTTATTTTATATTATTTTACTTTATATATATTTGCCTCTGTTTTTATTTCTGTCATTTTTTTGTTGTATTCATTTTAATTATGCCATTTATTTTTTATCTTCAATATTTCTTTTGATTATGCGTTTCGTTTTCCTTCTTTATCTTATTGTCTTCATTTTTATTTGTTCTCCTCACCGTTTTCCCTAATGTTATTTTCACGACTTTTTAAGGGTATTTCCGCAAACTATTAAAGGTAAGTAGTTTGGATCGACATTTTTTTTTACCTTTTAATTTAAAATTACAAGTTTCTTAATTAAAGACAACTGGAAATTACGTAGTACCGAAAGGGCGGTTCAAGGGTGCTAATCCTTCCTTGACCGTAACCGACTCCCGAGCCCGACATATTTCTAGTAAGACGCAGATCAGGTAAGAAATAGGGTATCCGATCAACCCATTTATTTTTAAATAAATGATCGGTGGCGACTCCAATCCACTTTTTTCAAGTCGGAGCCCAATTCCGGGGCCTAACCGAAAGACGGTTGCGACAGAATTCAAGCAAGATTATGTGATTAAGCAATTGGTTGAATGTCGTCAATTTAGACCATCATTTTGATTGTCGTCATTTTACAATTATGTCGATCTCTTTTTGATTATGATTTTAGAATATGGTCCCAACTTTTTTGTGTAGCTTAGCCAAGTATATGTCAATGTTTTGACTTGAATTTTCTGTGTATATAATATAGCCAACATATATGATTACGTATAGAATGTCATGGCTATTATCTTTTCTAAGTCTGAACATTGTACAAACTTTTGATGGTTAATATTATACTTCTTTTTTTTATGTAGTATACGACTTGCAAGTAATGTGCTAGTTTTTGAATATGTAATTACTTTTGATAGTTTTTGTTATGTAGTAGAAACCTTGTCTTTGATAGTTAACAGTTATCGCTTTCATGTGTATCGCAACTTATTGATAGTAAAAACCTTGTCTTTGTTATGTAGTATATGCATTGAAACCATATATACTTGTTATGCAAGTCTGCCGATGAAGAATTATTACAAATTAGATTTTGGAACTGAAGTAGGCAGATATTAGTGCAGACTGGGAAAAAAACGTAGCACCAAATTCTTGTGTTCTATCATAAAAAACAAAGTAATTTTTATGTTTCATCAATTTAAGTTGATGCTTTGTTAACTGCACATTATGTGTTTGTTATAACTGTGAGACCTAATACATACACATTGATTTAAAACAGTACTGAAAGCCCTAAGCTGTTGAGGTATTCCATCCTTTGCATTGGCTTAATAACTATATAGATCCACTCGACTCAAATCCTGTTGTGTTTGCTGATTAGTTTTGTACTAGCTTCAAAATTCAAAAGTTAAAATATGTTACGTTACAGTTAACCTATGACCATAGAAAATACATCAGCTTATGATCAGCGTGTGAGTTGTGACGTTACGTAAATGAGGCAGTCATCAATAGATTCTCTTTGACCATATCGAACAAAGTTAAGGTAACCTATATTCAGCACATGCCACTAGCCATGATAAATAACAAGATTACTAGATCGAGTGTTCTTGACATGCCACATTTATTTGTCTAAAACCAACAGATCTTACTGGAAAGTAACCTCTAAGCTACATAAAACATGCTAGTATTTGAACATTGCACTTGACTTACCAACTTCTACAAACGGTATTACCGGTTTACGAGTAAAAAGGCAAAACAAACACATGCGTTTCATATCACCTAAAGCAAAACATATCCTAACATACCTCAATTTCAATCATTGGGATGTCATGATCACTGCTTTCCTGCAATGATTGTTGAAGCATCATATCATCAGCCATTGTTACCAAAGTTAATTTTTCTATAGAAAATAAGGTCTCTAGCGCAAAACTGAACATGGGAAAGTTGAGTTTGTTTACTTAATGAATCAATTAAACAAAACCATAAAAACTCATCCCCTATTATCAACTAATACATTATTTATATACCTCAATTTCAATTTTTGGGATGTCCAAAGTTAAAATGTCTATAGAAATTAAGGTCTATGGTGCAAAATCGAACATGGAAAAGTAGAACTTAATTAATGGACCAATTAAACGAATTCATCAAAACCCATTCTGTATTATCAACTAATATTAGGGGTGTAAACGAACCGAGTCGAGCTCAAATATTATTGAGCTCGACTCGACTCGACTCGAAAATTATGAAATGGAGCTCGACTTGACTCGAAAATTCTTAGATAACAAAAATCATTTACATCTTTTTAGTATTATGAATATCTATGAAGAATTTTCACACTGTAAACATTTAGTTAAATGTTTATGTAAAATTTTAATATATTTTTACATAAATTATGTAAAATTTAATATTAATTAAAATAATACATGATATATTTAAATACTCAAGTAATATATTATCAACAAATAGAATTTTTATATAAATAATTTTTATTTAAATATTTAGAATTTCACTTGTTAAAAACTATAGAACAAGGATAATTTGGTGAAATATACATTCCAGTAATCTTTTATTCCTTCAACCAAACATTGTAATATTACACTCCTGCCAAACCAACCAAACACAGTAATATAACATTCTCAGTAATCCTATTCCCCGGTAATCTTTTATTCCCACTGGTAATCTTACATTCCGCGAACCAAACGCACCCTTAAGGTATAGTTCTATTGACTCTATCTTACTTGAAGCTATTAAAAATGTAATTTCCATTGGCATTTGGTTCAATTTTTTTATTGATTATTAAAAAGTTTGTAATACGATTAAAATTATCATTGATTGTTTTAAATTAGGTATGATCAAATATTTATAAATATGATCTATTTTTAGATTATAGTCAAATTTAAAAATCGAATACACGTACAAAAGATTGAAGCATCCCGTCATTTCAAAAATACTAATCGCCTAAATTTTTAAGAAATTATGAATATAAATTAAAATTTAAAATATAATCGCTTAAACAAATATATGTACTTTTCAAGTCAATTAAAATTTCAAATACGAAAATACAAACACAAACAATATCAAGATTAAGATCAAAATCTCAAATATTTTAAAAACATAAATATGAAAATGAAATCCATAATCTATACAGAATACGAACACTAACCATATAATTTAACAAAAAATAAGTAGAGTGCTCCAAATACTTTGCCGCCATCATGGCCCATGGATGATAAGTCAACAAATGAGGATGTTATGCCAACGACTTAAATATCTTCCAGTGGTAGCGAGCGCACTTGATCCTAATTTTCAATAAACTAAATTGAAACCCTAATTTTGAATTACCTGTGTACTTTTACTCCGAGTGATTCTTAGTTAACCCATCGGCTCAGGCAAGATGTACGGATCCGAAAGAGCCGGCGACGATGTAGAGCGAACTGCTTTCAGGAAGTCAAAGAAGAAATACAAGCTTTATTACGAAAATAATCCAAAATCCTCCAAAAATACATCAAAATTTCAGCTCAAATATTAAATTTTAGTTCAATTTAATATTTAAAGACATATTTTTGATTGATTTTTTTTCTCAGGAAGAAGCAACTTAAACAAGTCGATTTATCAGAGGTTTTGGATTTCAAATTTATCTCTGAGTTATTCAATCTGAAAGGTGAACTTCCTCCGGGAGTTGTACATGTAAGTTGTGGATTTGATCGTTCAGTTTTTGGCTTGGAAAATCTCCCTGGTATGTATTTTTTTTCCCTTTTGAATTCAATTAGTTACGAAATAGAGAGCATTTTTTTTTGTAGCAGTTGGGAATTTGAACTTGAAAAGATTGGATTTGGATTTCAAAAGTAATTGGCATTCATGATTATTTTCAAATTAATGAATTTGTTCGATTTTTGTTTGATAATGAATTTTGAGTTTCGTATGGATACTTGTGGATTCAAAATTCATGCTCTTATACATTTTCAAATATCTAATCATATTAAATTGCAACTAATTTATACATAATCTTTAAATATCTTTCTCACAATTTGTTTAGCAAATGAAATCTGAAATCCAAATCTTCAAAAATCATGTTCTCTTAAATTGCATTAATTATTTTTTATTTCGTTTAAAATGCAGGGTTCTATTTTATTCCCGGCGCATTAACCTTGGACGAACAATGTAAATGGATAAGGGAAAGTTTAATGAAATTTCCACAACCTCCAAACAGAACAAACCATAATGTTATTTATAGGCCTATAAGTAACCTGTTTTCTGCGGCGAAGGAAGGTAAAGTTTTCGTGGAGGAAAGGTCCAATAATGATTTGGATTCTGATTCAAGTGCTTCTGTAAGCAATGGGGAGTCTCATAGATGGAAGTTTTACGAGGAAGGCATCTCACGATCAAGGGGAAAGACTTGCAAATTGGTCCCTGCTTCTGTTTTGCTTCGAAAGCTACGGTGGAGTACCCTTGGCCTTCAATTTAACTGGTCCAATGTAGGTATTCATTCATTTAGTCCTTCATCTCCTTGTATCTTTTGTTCGTGAGATGTTTACTGTCTATTTAAAGCACAGGGTGCCTCAATCCTGATCGAATGACTACCGGACAGAATTTGAGGGTTCTTCAATTTAATCTTGCTGTTTGCTTTAGATTTTGTTCTAGGATTCCAATTCTGAAACAAAATGGTCGTTTTCAACTTCTGTTATAGAAAACTTATATCATGTAACTTTGTGAAAGTGTTATAAGGTATCATCCAAGTAGGGCGACGGTGTTGATCATGCTCCTTTCTGACCGATGCATGATGATATGTGTTATAGAAACTTGTATGTTGTAAATCCATGAACGTGCTATAAGTTATTATTCAAGTACAATGTTGTGTTGGTCATACTCCTGACTTAACCTGTTGCAAAATGATAAGCTTGTAATTACTCCTTTTCTTTAAGAAAAAAAATTAAAGGAGATTGCTTATTCCAAGACGATTTCTAAATTGAATGTATTTATGGTGCAGCGGAACTATGATGTGTCTTTACCTCATAAAAAAATACCTGATGCACTCTGTCAGCTTGCTAAAAGAATGGCTGCGCCTGCGATGCCTATTGGAGAAGAGTTCCTACTGCAGGCTGCAATTGTCAACTATTTTGGGTCAGGTATTCTTTGAATACAATGGTTAAATTCATTGCTGATAATGTTCTCCAATTTTCAGTAAATGTTACTCTTTGTTACGCACCCTCATGGTCACGCACACACATATGTTCTACATCACCAGGTCGTGTGTTGCAAGAATTCCTGTCTCATGTGCTTTTTGAATGCTCTTTTATATTTCCAGGTGATGCACTTGGTGGTCACCTAGATGATATGGAAGCAGATTGGAGTAAACCTATTGTAAGCATGAGGTAATTTACTATTTCCTTGTCATTTAATCCCTCAAAACTAGAAAGAAGAAAGTAACCATACTCTTAGTTTTGATTTTATACTCTATTTTCTTTCTCAGTTTTGGCTGCAAAGCTATTTTCCTTCTCGGAGGAAAGTCCAGAGAGGACGAACCATTAGCAATGTTTCTCCGAAGTGGCGATGTAGTACTCATGGCAGGAGAAGCAAGGGAATGCTTTCATGGTGAGATGTCACATCTCTGTGGCTTTCTTTTGTTGTTATGGTTTTGAAATTTTCCAGACTTGAACTCGATTATAACAGCCTACCAATCAATAGTGATCCGAATACTGCAATCAAAATTGTTTTAGAAATACTTGGAATTTTCCTTTTGTGCTTCCGGGCTTAGTCTAGTTGGTTCATATAATCACCCTCATAGGTGTTATCTAGAAAGTTCGGGTTTCAAATTCCAGCATCTGCGATTTTTTTTTTATCTTGGTGCCAAAAAAGGAAAGAAACATCTGTGCTATAACTTGTATGCATAAATAGTTTTTTTTTTTTTTTAATAACAATCATCAGTAGTCGATTTTTATGTGATTGATTGTTTTCTTTTCTAGCATCCTATATAACCAATCAGCATACAATTCTTGCAGGTGTGCCTCGCATATTCACAGACTGAGAAAATGCCGAAATAACTCATCTCGAATCCCAGTTCTTGGATGAAGACGATCGTTGTTTCCTAGACTATATAAGAACTTCAAGAATCAACATCAATATCAGGCAAGTCTTTTAATTTTATTTTGAGACAGGAAAACAATGGGAAAATGGTAGTTTAATGTTGCCTTCTTTTCCTCGAGGAGTTCAGTTTATTCTTTCGAAGTTTTTGCTAGAAGGGCGAGTGAGAGTTAAATTTCTAATTAAATTTTTGGACTGGATAAGATATTTGGGTTGAAATTAAATTTGATTATTATAACCTATTTCATATCGATCAAAAATTCATATGGACCCGTCTAGTTACCATTCTAACAAAAACTTTTCTTCCTAATTCTTATACGCAATAAAAGCCTTCCCAATGAATTGCTTATACGCTAAGCCAAGGGGTACTTTATACAATCAACTCCCACCAAAAGCCAATATATCTTTACCTTTCAATTATATTTCTTACTCTTTATTTCAACAAATTATAATTATTCAATTAATCGATATCTTTGTTGATGTAATAATTTCAAAAATGAATATATTTAAATTCTTCTCGGTTGTGGAGTTAACTGTTTGTCCCTTCTAATTTTTTTTAGTATAATAGTATTTTAAATTATCTTTAATTTAAATATTAATTACATAAGATATTTAGTTCTTTAAAATTTTAAATTTAAATTATCTTTAAATTTTAAATATTAATAAAAATATTTATAGATATACATTTATAATCAATCATTATAAAATAGGAGTAGATAAATAAATTAGGATTCAGTCGCACAATATAAATTTAAAAAGTTTATATTAATTTAGGATTGTTGGATGAATGAAATCGATAATTGAGATAATCGTCTTGTTTTTTAGTGAATAACTTTTAATTTCTTACTATGTCTATTTTTATCAAATCTTACCTCTAGATAAATTAATATTAATATTAATATATATATATATATATCACAATTATTATGAAAACTTCAAAACCCATATGCACCACCAAAATCCTAGAGGCTTAACGTGTACAATTGGAAAACCACTTTTATTTTATTTTTACTTAAAATTCAGAACCAATCATTCAGATTTTTCGCTTTTTTTACTCAATCTTATATTTTCTTTGGCTGCTATTAGTTTCTTTCTTCTTCCTCTCACTGCTCATAACCCGTTGAATTGGTAAATAAAAAACTTCTCCGGCGACATGTTCCCGGCCGTTTTGACTCAGGTGGCAACCGGCTTGAGCGTCTTGGCCGGCGCCGTCTTATTCAAATCCGTCGCGGATCAAAAACCCATGGCCGGCCCGTTTCAGAGATGCCCGACTTGCAACGGCACGGGTCGCATCTCATGCATTTGTTCTCGTTGGTCCGATGGAGATGTCGGCTGTCGGACTTGCGCGGGGTCGGGTCGCATGGCGTGCAGCAGCTGCGGTGGGTCCGGTACCGGCCGACCCCTTCCGGTCCAAATTTCCGTTCGTCAACCGACGAACCGTGGCTTTTAAGTCATCGGGTATTGACTCTTGCCTATAAACAAAGAGTTGAATGAATTGTAATCTTTACAACGAACTGTGTTGTGAGTTTATATTATGAATTTGAAGAATTCTGCTGTAACAGATTAACAATTCTGTGCTTGAAATTTTTATGAATATATGAAATTCCAAGTTTTATCTTTCCCTTTGACGTTTTGTCCGAGTAAATTTCATGGAATGTCATTTAACTATGATCAAATAATTATTTTAATCATTGAATTTTCAAAATTTATAAAATAGTTATTAAACTGTTTTAAAAATATTATTGAAATTAGGATAAAAATATGTAAATGGTCATTAAATTGCTAAAATGATCTTTTTAGTTATAAAACTTTAAAAGTTACAAAATGATTATTAAATTTATCGAACTATTACAAAATAATCAATGCACAATATAAAATAGTGAAAAAATTTATATGCTTAAGTACAATTTTGTAATAGCTTAATGATAATTTTTATAATAGTTTGATAAAGTTTAATAATCATTTCATAACCATTTGAAAATTTAATGATTATTTTGTAACTTTCTAAATCTTAGTGATCAAAAGAATCATTTGACTTTCCCTTGATATTTATCGAATCATTACAAAATTTTCATTAAAATTTATCAAATTTTATTATTGTTATTATAACATTGAAATGATCGTTCTATAAAATTTGTTAAATTGAATGATAATTTTATATTTTCAAAAAATATAATAACAAAATAATCATATAATTTTAGTTCAGGGACATCAAAGTGTAATTTACCTTTTCATAAGTCACCCATATTTTCTGTCTTAATTTCCATAGTTTTGTTTTGCATGTAGATGGAATTGGTGAATCTTGTTGAATACAGTGCGGAAAAAGTTACAAATTAACAAATTGAAATGATTCGAACATAACATTATCCAAACTCGTTATAGCCCATTTGGAAAATTGAAGTTTCAAACTCTAATAATTAGAATATAATTTTTTTAAAATCTCGTGTTGCTTCATTCAAATGAACCTGAATTGTAACACCTAAACCTGTATCCGACCCGAATTCGAATATGATGTGTCACATTGACTTTTCAAAATATTTTCTTTTATAAATCAGGAAAATTTTAAATTTACAATTTAAAATAATGAATACTTTATACTAATTAAAATCAATTGGTTTTACAAAACATATCTGAGCTTATACAATTCAAATCTTTAGACTACATGCCAACTAAATACTATGGAATAAAATACATGTATTCAAGTACATTTCTGATATGATCTTTGGAAAGAAGAATCTGACTTGTCTTGCTCCTCTATGCTCTGTAGTCTTCTCGAAACCGACGTGTGAAACATTCACACACTAAGTCTATGACTTAATGAGGCATATAAAACATATAAGGTAAACTATAACTCCTAACAATGAATGCATGTTTCAAACTATCATATCAAACAACCTCATATGCACTTTCACATAATAACTATATATATATATGTATATATCATCATATCATATATGTTTGTATACTATTTCATGTCCATATAATCCTGTATATTTACCCACTTAGCTTATATCACATTCTCCTATTATCATTTAAATCATTTCTTTTACATAATTCTTAATCATATAATTTCTATCTCAAAGTCACATATCTCTTCTTTCTATATGCTTCTATTTATTATATAACCCATAGATTCTTGTTACATATTCTTGTATATTAATTCCTTATATTCTATTAGTTCATTTTTATATAATTTGTCACATAAACATACATTTTCATAACTTATCATGATCTAATTCCTATGATATTCTCATATGACTTCATTTCCTAGATCCTTGTAATATATTTCATATCAACTAAGAATTTAACAAGTTTTAGATTAATTTCATTGAAACATATAGACCTTCTTATACAACTTATCTCATATATTCTTATACTTACTTATGTACATGTTTCCAATTTGATATACTATTTATTTTATCTCTATTCTCATTTATTAATATAATTCCATTATACTAGTTCACCCACAAAGTATATTCTCATGGTATGATCATAATTATTCTATTCATATAATTCTATAGTCCACTACCTTATTACATACACATATGGAGTTCACAACATTTCTCATGTAATTACTTGTAGCATATCATATAAGTTCATTATATTCTCTTATATTCAAATATATCAAACAAACATAATTTTACATAGATAATATAACATATGCAATACATGCAACCAACATACTCATATCCAAGTACACAACCACATAACAATCATATTAAATTTATTTATATTATTTCTTTATTAGCCCATGTACACATGTGAGAACTTAAGGTATGCGAGTACTTTGAGGTTGTGTACACATATACTGTCACACAGATCCTATAAGGGTCCACTGAGTGGCATGTGAAATCTATGTCCTAAAGGACGTCATCTATGTCCCGAAGGACATAAGTACATGCCCATATGTAACACCCCCAACCCGTATCTGACTCGGATACGAATCCGATGTGTCACATTGACTAATCAAAGCACATACTTTTACAAAATAAACTATAGAAAATTTAAAACTTCTATTCTATAAAGAAATTCTTTTACATAAACATGTTAAAACCTTAACAGACTCCATCAGAGCGTACATATTTAATGACTTAGTTACATGCCAACATACTAAATTATATGACAAGACATACTTTACAAAATATTTCTGATCTGAACTTTGCGCGGCAATATGCTGCTTTACGGATCCGAAGCTTGATCTCCTGACTTGTCCACACCTACGTGTAAGACACTTACACGCTAAGTCATAGACTTAGTGAGACATGTAGATGCACAATGCAAACTAACAAATGCATACATATATCATATAATACACATCATAATTACATACTTATTGAACCAATCATTAACATATTTATCATTACTTATTTCCTTGTCATTAATTCTATTCTATTATCTGAGCATATATTTGACATAAACGTATAATATAACTCCAAAACACAATAATACATGAATAAATACTAATGTCATATCATACATAATCACATATCATCTCTTATCACAAAATACATATGCACTTATTATCATTATCTTATTTTCTATTATCATATGATTATGAGCTTATCATTTATTACTGTCATATAACACAAATATCATTTCACCAAGAACACATATATTATCATAACACATATTTATTATCTTTAAAGCCCATGCACTCTTTTGAGAACTTAAGGTGTGTGAGTACATAGAGGTTGTGCACAATGCTGTCACCACAGCTCATATAAATCCCACTAGGGGCGCGTAGAAATTTGTCTCGTAGGACTATTATGTCCCGAAGGACCACTGTGTCCCGAAGGACCACTGTGTCCCGAAGGACCACTGTGTCCCGAAGGACCATTGTGTACCGAAGGACCACTATGTCCCGAAGGACCACTGATAGTCCCTTGACTCTTGGCATGCCAACTATACCTATAGCTCTCATAACACATGACATGGGCATTACCTTTTATATCTTTTCACATATTCACGTAGGCACATAGTTCACTTTCACATATCATATTTTCATGTAACTCACATTCACTTATCACATAGCTTTTCACCTTTACTTGTATTCTTTTTCACATAGCTCATAGTTATGATTCTTATATCATAACACATGTTCGCATATACATATTCTCATACAATCCCTTCATTCAACTATCACATACATAACATATCATATGACATTCTAATAGAAACACATATGAGTCATATTACTTTTACATATATTTTATCATATATCTTATGATCACACGACATATTATCATAAATACATGCATTTACATAGTTCGTACATAAAAACTCATTCAACCATTAGACATATACATTTACTCATATACCATACATCTAAAACCATATCACTACATGTTTATGCTTTAGTACTCATCATATAATATTGGAATTAGACTCATCGCAAGTCTTAATTCCTTAACATAACGCACACTTAATATCATGTACTCACCTGGTCTCCAATAACACTACTGAACTATTGCTCTTTCTTGTGTATCTTACTCTGACAACCTATCCGAACTTTGCTTTTGATCGATGTATACACAATCATATATTTATACCATCAATATCCAATTGATATACTATAATCCATCACTTCTTAGACTGAAAGAAAGATTTATTTCATTTCCCATTGAAGTGCATTGATACATTCTACAGTGTATCGATGCATCCCTTAACATGTGCATCGATGCATCCCTTAACATGTGCATCGATGCACTACCCATGCATCAGTACACAAATCACCTTCGATGTTTTCATTTTAAGGGGTGCATCAATGCACTCCTTATGCATCGATGCACTACTTATGCATCGATGCACTAATTGCATTCGATGTTTATTTATTTGAGAGTGCATCGATACACATTGAAGATGCATCGATGCACATAACCCAGAAATTCCATTTTGAGCACGAAAATGTCTTACTTTGTCATCAAATTCTACTTATTAACCCCTCCTTATACCTTAAAACTTATTTATACATATGTAAACCTTCTTATAACACTATAACACTTCATCATCTCTCATAATTCACCATAATTCTTGAATCAAATAATTTCATCAAAATTTTCACATGTTCTTAATTCAATTCTATCACCTATAACTTCTTAATTAGCCCTTTGACAAGTCAAATTCATCCTTAGAACTTCAAAAACCTTTCTATAACAAAAGTTCATTTCTAAACTCTTAATAGAAATTCCTTTCTAACCATATATTCTTGGTGTTTTAAGCTTATATAAGCTTTACTTAAGCTTATATAACACCCAAATAATCAAAACCTACTTAATATTCAAGAAATCAACAACTAAAATCAAATTTACCCTTAACAATGGAAGCCAACATGAAGAAGGAAGAAGAAGAAATAAGCTTTCCAAAAAACTCTCCCCATCCCCACGTGTTATATTCCTAAATAAGGGAAATAAAAATATCCTCCAAGCTAAATTATCATAATACCCTTATAATCCTTTCATAATTACCCTTTTTTCCAACATTGAAATATTCTTATTAAATCCTTAAACTTTTCAATTTTCCTAAATTGATCCCTAAATTTAAAAAATTCTCATTTTAGTCACTGACCTGAATTTCGGGATATTACAAATCTTCCCATCTTTTAAAGAAAATTCATCCTCAAATTTTCACTTTACCTTAAATGAAGCAATTCTTTATAATACTCAACAATTCTTATCTTACCCTTACTATTAACCTTATACTCATATACAATTCTCCTTCGATACTCAATATATCTATATCTTTCTTACTCATTCCATAAACAACATTCATATAACTTATTTACTTGGAAACCATATACTATTAATTCTTAACAATTCATTATTTTTTGCTTCTAATCAAATCTTCCAATTATCTTTCTAATTACCACTTACTGAATACTATGATGATTCCCAAATCTATTAAAACCAAACTATTTTACCACGATATCGAAATTTACCTGCCAAAATCTATGGGTCATCGAAATCTTCATCATTCATTAAATTATAAACTTGGGTAGGTGGTTGCATATCATATTGAGTGAATGACTCCGATCGATTTATTCTACGACCTCTACCTCTATTTCGTTGAGATACTGTAGTAGATCTTTCTCTCTGTATCGTCTCTTCAGTCATAAATGGACAATCTATAATAAAATGTCCAACATCCCCATATCTAAAAAAGCTCCTGAGATCACTCTACAGACTCCAACATGAACATTGTCTGACTTGACTGAAATTTGATATTCTATCAGGAAAAACATCTGATTCCAACATGTAACATCCTCAATACCGGGTTAGTGATCAAATTGTAAAGTTTCAGAATTTGGTTACTAAAGAAGAACAATGGATTAGTTCAATGATTTATTTGGAAATATATCCTAAAAGTTGTTAGTAATTATTAGATGAATTAGAGGGCAAAGTGGTCATTTGAATTGGAAAGGATAAGATAATGATTTATATGGGATAAGCTTGAGAGATTTCTCCAGAAACTCTCTTTTCTTATTCTTCTTCCTTTCCTCCCGTGTCTCCATAGCAAAGGTAAGTTTGATTATTTGTTGATTTTAAGTATAGGTTTTGATCATTAGATGATAACTAAGTTTAAGGAAAGCTTAAGTTATCTTAAAATCAAAGGATGATGGAGTTAGAAGAGATTAAAGATTAGAGGTCCTTGAATGAAATATTGGAATAGAGTTTATAATAAGAATTGAAAGTTAAATTTGACTTGTTATCAATCTAGTTAAGACATACGAAGTGTTAGAAGTGGAATTAACACATGTTGTAAAATTAAGGTAATTCTTGAATTTCATATGAATGATAGGATTTTGACGTTTAAGATGAAATAAATGAGTATAGATTGGTTTAAGTATGTATATTGGAGTTAAGAATAAAAAAGGGGATGAAACATGAAGGTTTTAAGCAAAAATGGATGAATTTTCGGGTTTAAAAAGAGATTTATGGGTAGAGTGCATCGGTGCACATTCAATGTGTATCGATGCATCATGGTTAAATCCCATAATTTGTTGAAGGTGAATCGATGCATAAGGAGTGCATCGATGCACTCATTTAAATTAAATGAACATCGAATGCCATTAATGCATTGATGCACCTGCTTAAAATACAAACATCGAATAGGATTTATGCACCGATGCATGGGTAGTGCATCGATGCACCCGTCAAGGGATGCATCGGTACATGGTGTAGTGCATCGATGCATACCTTCAATAAGAGATGAAAATAGCTTTCTTTTAGCCTAAGGATTTATAGTTTGAAATATATCAATTCGTATGCTGATAAGTATCAATGTATTACTATGTAGATTTAGAGCGTAATCTCATTCCAGAACAATCGAAGGATTAGAATCGAATCAAAGTAAAGCTAAGGTGAGTGCAATTTAAATTGTACTTATGTATCGAATAAACATTAGCTTGCGATGAGCCAGTGATGGAGTTACTATAGTAAGAATGGACTTCTAAAATGTTATTTGAATTGTGATTCTTATGTTTGCATGAGTACATGAAAATGGGTACATATGTTATATGTATTGCATCTGTTACATGAATTGAGTGAATAAATGTTAGTGAGATGAGTTATGTGAATTGGTTTAAGTAGTGGATGTAATTATATACGTTATGTAAAATAAATATGTGATTTAAGACATAAGTTAAAGAACTATATGATATGAGATAAGATAGACACATGCTATTATAAGTAACTATAGGATCACGAACTATGTAAAATAACAATGATTTATATGATAACAAGATAAAGGATATAAATTACATGAGTTAGATATATATATATATATATAGGAATTTGTATAACCAACTTATGAGATTAGATGAAAAGTGAGATAAGTTAAATAACATTGATTTATAAGACAATATAAGAATAATATATAAATGAGGAGACATTGACAGAAGTGATTATATGAACATGTAAAATAAGTTATACGGAAAAGATTTATGAAGCTATAGGAAAATGTTATAGGAACTATATGATGATAAGTTATGAGAAAATATTTATATAGGTAACAAGCTATGAGAAATTGAATTAAGTAATATATGAAACTAGAATATAATTAATGTGAAATAAGAGATTAGGTAAAACTGTGAGAAGTTATAGGGCATTGTTATTCGAAGTATATGAAAGTATGTATATGGATACATGTATAAGTTTATATGTTATACTATGTGCTATGTGATGTATATATGAACATATGTGAACAAGATATGACATGCGAGTTTACATGAACAAATGAGGAATAATATAAGTCATATGAAACTATCTACGTGAATATATGCACTTGTGATACATGTGATATGATATGAAATATATGGTTACACATACATATGGTATGTGACAGAAGAGAAAGAACAAGTGATATGAAAAGTATAAATGATAATGCCCATGTTATATGATATGAGAGCTAGTGGTATAGTTGGCATGCCAGGAGTCGAGGGTTCTATGTGGTCCTTCGGGACATATATGTAATTATATGGAACTTATATGTGGTACTTCGGTACACTTATTGGAGCCATGATATTATGTATGTGGTTTTTAAGGAGTGGTCCTTCGGGACGTAATGGTCCTACAAGACATATACAGTGGTCCTTCGGGACATAGCAGTCCTTCGGGAAGAATACTGAACAAATGTTCGGTGCCCCATGAGGGAATTTATACGAGCTGTGGTGACAGCATTAGTGTACAACCTCAATGTACTCACATACCTTAAGTTCTCACATGTGTATATGGACTAATAAAAAGACAATAACAAATTTAATACATATGATGCATATGCTTTTGGTGATATGGAATATGTTCCATAAATTATATGATATTATGCATGTTTAGTTGTGAAATGATAAATGTGTTATATGATATATAGAAATGATAAATACAAGATCATATGATAAATAGAGATTTCGATAATGATGGTATATGTATATAATTGTATTTTGATATATGAAATGTACTATGATTTCTATTATATGTTTTATATGCCTCACTAAGTCAACGACTTAGCGTGTGATTGTTTCACACGTAGGTACCAAGAAGAGGAAGAATGATAAAAGTTAAGCAAGACATGTCAGTTTCTCCTTTCCAAAGACCATATCAGAAAAGCATTTTATAATATATATTTTATAATACGGATGGTAGTTGGCATGTAAATAAAGATTTGAATTTGATATACTCTAATTAGTTTTTCTAAAACCATATGAATATCGTTTATGTAATTTAGTCAGTTGTTTTAATAAAAGTTTTAAAATTATTCACTAGTTTGTACAAGTACCGGTTTTGAATAGTCAATGTGACACCTCAGATTCGTATCCGGGTCAGGTACGGGTTGGGGGTGTTACACAACATCTTATGAGTTGGAGAATCTACTTCTCTATTTTTCTTTGATAGCGAGGAACTTGACGAAGAACCCATTCTTTTGAACTTCTAAACTTTCTGTTCTTTAAATATTTCTTTCTGAGCTCTCTCTAGAGCTTTAGCTCGAATAACCACTTCTTGAAATGATGATAAATTCAAGGCTATCAACAACTCTCTTAGCCTAGGGCATAAACCCTCTACAAACTAGTCACACACATCATTCTCGGTCGGAATAAGTTCAGCAGCAAAATGAATTAACTTATTAAATTCACATTCATATTCATACACTGTATAATTCCCTTGTTTCAAACTCAAAAATTCTTGTTTCATATGTCTGATATATTGATCACCAATGTACTTACGCTTGAATTCTTCCAAGAAGAATAACCAAGTCACTTGATCACTTCTTAATCTCATGGTGACATTGGTCAACCATATTCTAGCTTGACCCCTTAACAGGGAAACTATTCCGCCTAATTTTTCTATATCAGAACAGTGGAGTCCATCTAACATTATCGTGACATCGTTCAACCAAAGGTCTGCAGCAACCGGATCTTCCTCAGCTTTACTCTTAAACTCAGGTGCTCCTAAACCTTTCAATTCTTTAGATATATCCATTCGAGGAGCTGAGGGCACAGAGGGTTGAAAACGCGACAAAACAACATTTAATGTCCCAAAAATAACCCTCGATCTCTCACTGGTACTTTTGGAGATGTTCGCTCTTCACCATGCCTGGCCAGGGCAGGTGAATTGC